AGTTACTGTGTTTGCTCTGTATTTTTTTTTTTTTTTTACACTTTCCGTGACCGGAGGGCCCCATGCCCAGCCACGGCCCTATTGTTTACAGTCGGGATCAGCTGTTAGCCCTCCGTAACACAGCGGTGCTGCCCCAGGATAGACCCGACGTTCCCTTTGAGTTAAAGAAGAGGAGACGGGGGACCCGTGCTGGAATTCAATGCCGTAGGAACAGTCGCTTCTGACCCGTCCTTCCGGCCATCGTTATGGGGAATGTGAGATCTCTTCCCAACAAGATGGACGAGTTAATGGTGCTTACCCGGCACCTATGGGAATATTGTGATTGTAGCATCATGGTGTTTACGGAGACATGGCTGAACTCACTAACACCGGACACGATCGTTTCTCTGGAGGGATTTAATTTGCGGTGCGCAGACAGGACACGGGAGAGCGATCAGAAGAAAGGAGGGGGGCTGGCTGTGATTGTCAACGATAGATGGTGTAACCCCGGGCACATCACTGTCAAAGAGCAGCTGTGTACCCCCCCCCGCTAATGGTGACGCAGCCTGTGATGTCCTGCACTCAGCTGTGAGCAGGCTGCAGACACAGCACCCACAGGCCCTCCTCCTCATCTCTGGGGACTTCAACCATGCCTCTCCTTCCTCCACTCTGCCCAAATTTACCCAGTATGTCACCTGCCACACCAGAGACAATAAAACACTGGACTTATTTTATGCCAACACCAAGGAGGCATATTCATCATCACCTCTCCCTCCATTGGGGAGATCAGACCACAGCCTGGTTCATCTCCTGCCTATGTATAAACCCTTAGTGCACAGGCAACCAGCTGTGACCTGCACAGTCAGAAGATGGTCTGAGGGACTGTATCGAGACGACTGTGTGGGAGGAACTCTATGATCTTAATACACTGCATCACGGACTACATAAACTTCTGTGTGGAGAACACTGTACCCACCAGGACTGTACGGTGCTTCTCCAACAACAAACACCGTCTTCAACCTGAGCCCGAAGCTGAGGAGAGTTCCACAACTGTGGAAAACATCCTGTGTGGTACCGGTGCTAAAGACGCCGCACCCGAAGGACCTCAACAGCTACAGGCCAGTGGCGCTGACATCGCACCCGATGAAGACCCTGGAGCGGCTGGTCCTCATCCATCTCCGCCCCCTGGTGGAACCATTGATGGACCCGGTACAGTTTGCCTACCATCTTGGCTTCGGGGTGGTTGACGCCATCATCTTCCTCCAACATAGAGCTCTTTCTCACCTGGAGAAGCCTGGAAGCACTGTGAGGATCATTTTCTTCGATTTCTCCAGCGCTTTCAACACCATCCAGCCTGTGCTTCTGAGGGACAAGCTGGAGCTCACAGGAGTTGATCATCACCTCACATCCTGAATTACAGACTACCTCACCAACCATCCACAGTATGTGAGGTCAAAGGACTGTGTCTCAGACATGGTGGTCTGCAGCACAGGGGCTCCACAGGGAACAGTTTTGGCTCCTTTCCTGTTCACCCTGTACACTGCAGACTTCAGACACAGTTCAGCCACCTGCCATCTCCAGAAGTTTTCTGACAACTCTGCCATCATCGGCTTCATCTCAGAGGACAATGACAGGGAGTACAGAGAACTGAGCAAGGACTTTGTGGACTGGTGCCAGCGGAACCACCTCCAAATCAACGCGGCAAAAACCAAGGAGCTGGTGGTGGATTTCCGCAGGCGCAGCCACTCCCTCCCGACACCGGTGAACATCCAGGGAATGGACATTGAGACAGTGGACTCTTATAAGTACCTGGGTGTTCGCCCAAACAATAAACTGGACCATCGCTGACAGGAAGAGACTGGACAAGCTGATAAAGAGGGCCAGCTCTGTCCTGAGCTGCCCCCTTGACTCAGTGCAGGTGGTGGGATAGAGGAGGATGATAGGAAAGCTATCATCAATGATGGAGAACGACTCCCACCCCATGCAGGACACTGTTACCGCACTGAGCAGCTCAATCAGCGACAAACTCCTTCATCCCAAGTGTGTGAAGGAGAGGTACCGCAGGTCCTTCCTTCCTGCTGCTGTCAGACTGTTCAACCAGCACTGCTCTCAGTAGACCACTCATACACTCAGACTCAATAATAAACTGTTATGTCAAATAGATACCCAAGTTAACGTGCAGATTTTTAAATTATCCAATGTGTACTGTTGCCGTTGTTTTTTTGTCACTGTATGTTGCTCTATGTCACTGTTGTTGTTTTTTTTTCCTGTTCATATTGTATATACTGTAATATTTATTGATTCTATCCCCTTGCTGCTGCAATAAGCGGAATTTCCCCACTGTGGGAAGAATAAAGGATATTCTATTCTATTCTATTCACCCACTTTGACCCTGACACCAGACAACCATCACCACCCCTGCTCCACCCTCACCCCCTCCCCACTCACCACCCACCATGAGGATGAGGATGAGGATCTGTGAAGGGGATGTGTACCAGCTCTTCAGGAGACAGGAGACCAGGAAGGCCCCAGGTGCAGACGGCATCTCACCCTCATGTCTATAAGTCTGCGCTGACCAGCTGTCCCCCATCTTTACAAGGACCACTGGAGATGTGTGAAGTCCCCTCCTGCTTCAGACACTCAACAATAATCCCGGTCCCAAAGAAACCCTCCATCTCAGGACTGAATGACTACACCCCCTTCGCCCTGATGTCTGTAGTCATGAAAACATTTGAGAGACTGGTATTGACCCCTTGACTGCAAACAGGTCAGTGGAGCATGCAGTCAACATGGGCCTGCACTACATCCTCCAACACCTCGACTCCCTTGGGACCTATGCAAGGATCCTGTTGGTGGACTTCAGCTCAGCGTTCAACATCATCATTCCAAAAGTCCTCCAACCAAACTGACCCAGCTCACAGTTCCAGCCTCCACCTGTGAGTTGATCACAAACTTCCTGACAGACAGGAGGCAGCAGGTGAGGCTGGGGAAAATCCCATCCAGCACCTGGACAATAAGCACTGGAAGCCCCCAAAGATGTGTGCATTTCTCTCTCTACACCAACGTCATCAACAGATCACTTGAGTGCAGAATCACTGACAACATTTTCAGCCTTCTAGCTTGAGAGGAAAAAAGTTTATACACATTATCTAGGCCCACCAAGGACCATGTCCTGTGAATTTCAGCTTTCTATGTACCAGGACCAACAAGCTGGGGGGCTCGTGAATCAGCCTGTGTAGTTTTAGGTTAAAGGGACAGAGTTGCAGAGGTTGTTTTTTTTTATGTATATACTGAGAGGATGGTCTCCAATGACCTTTGACCTTGACTGAGGCCTCCCCAGACCAGTTGCTCTTTTGACCTCATTTGGTCACCAAAGCAGATGGAGGCCTGAACCTTGAACTAGGAGATCCCTGAGATGTGTAAAATCATGTTATCCAGGAAACATGTTATGTTGCTACTACCATACTGAAAGTAGCTTCAGTAATAACTTTGGGCCTCCAACGTCTAGAACCTGGTTTGGACATGTAATATAAGTGCTTCCTAACAAGTTCAGCTCATTTGCAGCTATACTGGCCCAGTTATGTGCCTAAAACTGTAACTGTGGGCAGATGAAAAGACTGAGAGGGTTCAAACCACCACAGGACTGGCCCACGTGGAGTGCAAAATCACTGACAAAACTTTCTAGCTTGAGAGGAAAAAGGTTTTTCTGGTTGGACCAAGAAAGATCCAGACCCTTGGACCTATACACCTTTAGACCATCTGTAGGTGTTGGTGCTGGATTGGCCTGTTAAGTGAATCCTTGGGGCTACATCCACCAAAGTTTATACACATTATCTAGGCCCCCAAGGACCATGTACTGTGAATTGCAGTTGCAGATTTTTTGTTTATGTATACAATGAAAGGATGATCTCCAATGACCTTTGACACTGACTGAGGCCTTCCCAGACCAGTTGGTCTTTTGACATGATTTGGTCACCAAAGCAGGTGGAGGCCTGAAACTTGAACGAGGAGAAATAACTTAGAAATAAATTAGGGCCCAGTTTAGAAATGTGTAGTCAGTGATTCTGCACTATTGGTCAGATCCAACAATACAGCATAGACCCAACATTTCTTTATTAGACCCTATTTCTTTGCTGATCTGTTCTGTACACGTGCCACTCATTGCACGCCTGTCCAACCTGGGAGAAGGATCCCTCCTCTGCGGCTCTTCCTGAGGTTTCTTCCACCTTTTTTCCCCTGCTAAAAGGGTTTTTTGGGGGCAAGTTTTTCCTCACTTGAACTGAGGGTCTAAGGACAGAGGGTGTTGTCTCTGTGCAGATTGTAAAGCCCTCCAAGGCAAACTGTGATTTGTGAATGTGGGCTATACAAATAAAATTTGATTTGATTTAATTTGGTATTTCCTACAGGTTTTTATCACAAAAGGGTCTAATATGGAGATTCAATTCAATTCAATTCAATTTTCAATTCAATTCAATTCAATTTTATTTGTATAGCGCTAATTCATAACAGAAGTTATCTCAGGACTCTTTTCAAATAGAGCAGGTCTAGACCGAACTCTAACATTAATTACAGAGACCCAACAGTACCACCATGAGCAAGCACTTGGCGACAAGGGCAAGGAAAAACTGCCTGTAAAAGGCAGAAACCTAGGACAGATCCTCCGGCTCTAGGTGGGTGGACGTCTGTCTTGACCAGTTGGGGTGAGAGAGAGAGAGAGAGAGAGAGAGAGAGAGAGAGCCAGAGAGAGAGAGAGAGAGACAGACAGACAGGTGCATAGCAACAACAGTATTGGCAACGGCAATCTAGCAGGACCATGGCAGGAGGCTCCACCAGGATCGACAAGAACCTGCGAGACGAGGGAGCACAAGAACTCTGGGGAAGAAGTGAAGTTAGTAACATGCACAAATGGAACATGAATGAGTGCAGAAAGAGAGAGGAAGGGAGGAGCTCAGTGCATCATGGGAAATCCCCCGATAGTCTAAGCCTATAGCAGCATAACTAAGGGATGGTTCAGGACTCACCTGATCCAGCCCTAACTATAAGCTTTATCAAAGAGGAATGTCTTAAGCCTACTCTTGAATGTGGTTAGGGTGTCTGCCTCCCGAACCACAACTGGAAGCTGGTTCCACAGGAGAGGAGCTTGGTAACTGAAGGCTCTGGCTCCTGTTCTACTTTTAGAGACTATAGGAACCACAAGTAGCCCAGCATTCAGAGAACATAGTGTTCTAGAGGGGTAATAGGGTACTATGAGCTCTTTAATATATGAAGGGGCCTGACCATGAAGAGCTTTATAGGTGAGGAGGAGGATTTTAAATTCAATTCTACATTTTACAGGGAGCCAATGCAGAGAAGCTAGTACAGGAGAGATGTGATCTCTTTTTCTAGTTCCTGTAAGTACTCGTGCTGCAGCGTTCTGAATTAATTGGAGCGTTTTAATGGACTTATTGGGGCAACCTGATAATAAAGAGTTGCAGTAATCCAGCCTTGAATTAACAAATGCATGGATTAGTTTTTCTGCATCTGTTTGTGATTGGATGTGTCAAATTCTTCTAATATTACGTAAATGACAGAAGGCGGTCCTAGAGGTCTGCTTTATGTGGGAGTTAAATGACAAATCCTGATCAAAGATAACTCCAAGATTCCTGACAGTGGTGCTAGAGATGTTGGGTTTATACCGCAGATGTTGGTTGTTGGAACCAACATCCCCACATTTTATTGCAGTCATGACACCTCTGTTTCACACAACAGGAAGTAACTTAAGCATAACTCCAGCATTCGTGAGATTATTGAAGATCACTTTCTCAGTATCTAAAGGCTAAAACACCCAACTTTTACCTCTGGGATCCTTTATTTATTAAAAATACAAAGTTGGCTAGAGAATGACTGAGACCTGTTTGGCCAAACAGTATTACGTTTCCACCTTATTTCGATCACTCCCACAGGGAGGACTCTTTTAGTTTTCTTGGCACACTATTCATCAGCTGTCAGTTCACTCTTGATGAGTTTGAAAGGTGCTTCTATGGTGAACAGTCCCTGTTTTTTTGGGGAAAGACCCTCAGTTTGTTTTTCTCTGTGTTCAGCTCAGGACATGAAATTTCAATAAGTTATATGTGGGCTATCAGAATGGCGTTTTCTGTCCCTGCTAAGTGTAACTGTCCTGTGTATTTGATAATAGTATCTTACGGCCATGTCTAATTTATATAATATCAAGATCTGTTCTTGGAACATCCGTTGCCTCCAAAAACCCGCCAAGAGGATGGCGGTATTATCATTTTTGAAAAAGAAAGATGTATCTATCGCCTTCCTCCAGGAGACTCACCTTTAGGATAAGGATAATGCTAAGTTGCAAAGGAGTTGGGTGGGGCAGGTCTTTGCTACTTCATATTCTTCTTTCAGTAGGGGCATACCCATTTTGATCAGTGAAAATCTGGCATTTAGGTCTCTTGACTGTGTTAAAGACAGCCAGGGCTGGTATATAATTGTTAAAGGAATACTCGCAGGAAAAGAGGTAACATTTATGAATCTATATTGTCCCCCAGCCTATTCCCCTGATTTTCTCACCAAAACCTTTGCAGTTTTTATGGAGCATGCTTCAGAGATTTTAATTGTCACCTTAATCCCTCTCTTGACAAACTCCCATCTGCTATTTCTCCCCCCTCTAAGCAAGTGAAGGTGCTCGCTAATATATGTCATGATATATATATAATATTTTGATGTATGGAGGCAGCTTCACCCTACTGATTCAGAGTTCACTTTTTTTTCGGGGCCACATAAAGCTATACCAGAATTGATTACATCTTCATCCCCTCATCAAAAATGTCTCTTACTTTATCATGTTCCAATGGCAACATCGTGTTATCAGACCATGCCCCTTTTTATTTGGTATATTCTCTCGCTGAGGACAGGGCATTGTCATGGCGCTGGAGATTTCAACCTTATTTTCTTCAAAGATGTTGAGGACGAAGTTTATGTCTTACTTTACTTCAGAATTTAAGATTTTTTACTCTGTCAACTCACCATCCACAGATAATCCCTCTGTTCTCTGGGAGACATGTAAAATATACTCATGTGGACTGATTATGTATTTTGTAGCATCCAAAAGACATGAGAAGAATGAACAGCGTAAACGTCTTGAATCCCGACTAGGTCAATTGGAGAAAAATCACACATCTAGCTCGAGTCCTGATTTACTCAAGGAACTGTAATCTGCACGTGCTGCATTGAATACTTTTCTGATTCAGGACTCTGAGCAGTCCCTTAAATTTGCCAGGCAGAAACTATATGAGTTTGGGGACAAACCTGGAAAACATCTTGCCAGTCTTGTCAAAAAGAGGGCAGATTCTCAAAATATAGTCTCTATTACTGACCCTAATGGTGTTAGATCGTTTGATAGAACCATTAATAAACACTTTGCATCATTTTATTCCAACCTATATAGTTCTGAACAGCCTGACAATGCCCTAACCCTTATGCGTCAGTTTTTTGCAGATTTGAGACTCCCCAAAGCTACGGATGATCAAAAATTACAACTAAATGCCCCAATTACTAGAGAGGAAGTGCTACTTGCTTTGAAATCTATGCCATCCGGTAAGGCCCCGGGCCAGATGGATTTGGATGTGAGTTTTATAAGGAGTTTAGTGATATTCTCTTAGACCTTTTGTTGTCTATGCTCAATCATTCATTTGAAAATGGGATCCTACCTCAGTCCCTCAGGGAGGCCAATATTTCTCTCATCCTTAAAAAGGAAAATGCCCCCGAAAAGCTGCGCCTCATACAGGCCAATAGCCCTACTCAACTCTGACCAAAAACTACTCTCCAAAATTCTGGCCTCACGTTTAGAGAAGGTGCTGCCCCATATGTCAAGGAGGACCAAACCGGTTTTGTTAAGGGCCAGAACTCCTGTGATAATCTGAGGAGGCTCCTTAATTTAGACATCATCCAGCTAACCCAGAGATGTCAGGACCTGGCCCTCGTGCTGTCTCTTGACGCTGAGAAGGCATTCGACCGGGGTCGAGTGGTCGCATTTGTTCTATGCTTTGGAAGAATTTGGCCTAGGTGATAACTTTGTCAATTGGATTAGGGTTCTGTATAATACTCCGTCGGCGGCGGTTCTGACTAACGGGCTGAGATCCCACAATTTCCCCCTCAACCGCGGGAATAGACAGGGCAACCTTCTCAGCCCCTTGTTATTTGATATTGCTATTGAGCCGCTGCCCCAGGCAGTAAGGCAAAACACTTTAATTTCTAGTATTTTCGTTTGTGAAAGGGAACACAAAATCACCTTGTACGCTGATGACATTTTAATACATCTATCGCAACCCCAAACTTCTGTTCCCTACTTGCTTAAGGTCATTTCGTTGTCCACCATCTTTTTGGGATATAAAATTAACATTGCAAAATCCGAAGCTATGCCCCTGGGATCGTTAACTTGTGTTCCAGATATGACTGAATCCTTTTACTTAGGAGTGCATGTAACACCTACTTTTGGTCAGAAGTCCAACTCCCCCCCCTCTTGGATGCTATAAGGGCTGACTTAGACACCGCTGGGCCCCTCTCCCTCTTTCCTGGCTAGGTAGGGTGGCTCTTATAAAAATGAACGTCCTGCCCAGACTGCTGTATCCACTGCAGATGATCCTTATAATATTGTCAAACAAGGTTATTAAGGTGCTTGAAGGCTGGCTAACCTCCTTCATTTGGAGCAAGAGGAGGCCCCGTCTCAAGATGACAATACTTCAAATGGCAGGTTATGATGGAGGGCTAGATGTACCAAATCTTAGATTTTACCAACTGGCTTCACACCTGCGGGTGATTACAAGCTGGCACAACTATAATCCAACCTCCATTTGGCATGATATTGAGTCCTCTCAGTCAAAGTGTCCCTTGGTAAATATATTGTTTATGAATAACCCTGAATCTGTCAATGCTCTAACCCTATTACTCTCATTACCATCAGAGCCTGGAGATCCATTTGCTCTATAGGAAGCCGGGCTCAGTTGACATCTCCTCTCACTCCCATTCTTGACAACCCGGACTTCCTGCCAGGTTGTAAGGACCAGGGCTTTAAAGTATGGAGCACCCAGAGGCTGAAGAAAATAGGTGATCTATTTAATGGCCAAATTTTACTATCCTTTCAGCAGTTGCAACAACAATTTGGATAATTTAATCAAGGTGACTTTTACAGATATTTACAAATGAGAGATTTCATAATTAAAAACACCACCTTAATGACTTATAACACCACTTCATGTGTTGAGAAGGCCCTGTTTCTACAGATTAGTAAGAAATGCATTACTGTTTTTTACAGAGCCCTAAACCCTAATTCTCCTCATACCTCACAAGCCACCAAGCAAGCTTGGGAGAAAGATCTTGGCATTGCCATAGATGATGCTGACTGGCGGGAAGTCTGATCAAGAATGTTGCTCCAAAAAAAATCATGGCACAACATCGTTATGGACTGCATTGCTAGTGAATACATCACATGTATGTTTCACTCCAAAATAGATGCTTTCCATAGGGTCTGAAACCCTTACTTGCAACATATTGGACCCACGCTTTCATCCTGCTTGCTTTGTGGATTTCCCAAATCAGCCTAGCCTGTTTCCATAACATTGTTCTAAGTGCTCACTTTCTAACAAGCACCTTCCTGCCTTGTTATGCTTGTATGCTCTGTATTGATTGTCATTTGGATACTGCTGTGTCTTGCTGCAGGAGATTGATGGGGAGGGGGCTGGTCAGAAAATGTGCCCACTGTCATTTATTTTTATTTCCATAACATTTTTCTATTTGTTGTACCCACATTGTTTTTTTTCCTCCTCTTTTCTGTCATGTCTGAGCAGTTCTGTGTGTTTTGAAAAAATGCAATAAAAATATTTTTCAAAAAAAAAAATACAAAGTTGGCTAGAGAATGACTGTGACCTGTTTGGACAAATATGGCCCCCCATGGGCAGATGAAAAGACTGAGAGGGTTCAAACCACCACAGGACTGGCCCACATGAAGTGCAGTATCACTGACAAAACTTTCAGAGAAAGAAAGTTTCTCTGGTTGAACCAAGAAAGATCCAGGCCCTTAGACCTATACACCCTTAGACCATCTGTAGGTGTTGGTGCTGGATTGACTTGTTAAGTGAATACTTGGGGCTAGATCCACCAAAATGTATACACATTATGTGTATCTGAACCTTGAACGAGGAGATCCCTGAGATGTGTAAAATCATGTTATCCAGGAAGCATGTTAATTGCTACTAAAAGACTGGAAGTATCTTTAGAAATAACTTAGGGCCTCCAACTTCTAGAACCTGGCTTGGACATGTGATATAAGTGCTTCCTGACAGGTTCAGCTCATTTGAAGTGTGATGGAATTTTGCATTCTTTGTAGTAACATCTAGAAAATCTTACACTCTTATATAGTTTGATCTTGTACTTTCTGTAGTTTCTGGTCTGGTCAACTCTGCTGTTACGGCCCCGCGGTTTATAACCCCCTAAATAGAGAGGAGATTATACCTAGATGTAAAATCCTGAAAGGGGTTTACAATCTATTTTGTATTACTCCAGATTGT